TTAGTTGAGCTTAAGTGGTTAATTGTTTAGTTCTTGTATATGGCCATTGCTAGAACTATTTATCCAAGCTTTCTCAACGAAGGATCGAGAGATGAACTTGAGTTAGCTCCCTTATGCTTAATTGACTTGAAATGCCATGAGAATAGGAATTTCCAGTCAAGGGAATGTTTATGTCATCGTGATTATGTTTCAACACTTGTTTTATGCTCTGTAACCACGAGAGGAGGTTGTATTGATGATTCAAGTAATCCCTCTAGCTTGAGAGAGTAGTTGGGTGCCTTAGATGACTTCCCCTAATTTATCCCCTTAATTTACCTTGATTGTTGCATGCTAATTGTGATTTGCGATGAAGTTGAGTGGTATAACCCGAGCCTTAGATTCCTTTAAATATTGTTAATCTCCTCTTAGCTTTAGTTGAATTGACCTAGTAGAAGTTGCTCAAGACCAAACCAATTTCAACTTCATTTAGCTTATTTAAAAGGTAGTATCTCAGTGCTTGATTCAAAGCCTCTCTTAGGCTTGGCCCTTTCTTACCCTTGCTATTAGTTAGTGAGACTAAGATAGGATTTATATGTTGGTAGGCTCGACAACGGTCCATGACGTCCACTTGAATCTAATTCTTGCGAAAAGCTTCAAAGAGTTGAAGAGAATATTTCTATTGTTGCTCTTTCCCCTCGTAGGTCACTCAGAATCAGAAACAAACAGTTTGTTGATGTTCTGTTAACTGAGGATTCTAAAATCTTCCCATTGGAGAGTGCGAAACCCACACCTACAAGCAAGCTTTGGCAAGCACCGACTCAAATAAATTGCTTGAGGCCATGAAATCCGAAATGGACTCCATGTCTGAAAATAATATGTGGGCCCTAGTAGACTTGCCTGATGAGGTCAAACCCATTGGTTGCAAATGGGTCTACAAGATCAAAACAGACAAAGATGGAAATGCCTACATCTATAAAGTAAGACTGGTTGTAAAAGGGTTCAGATAAATTCATGGTATTGACTATGATGAAACATTTTCCCCAGTAGCAATGCTTAAGTCTATTCGGATTCTTCTAACAATTGCTGCATTTTTTTATTATGAAATTTGGCAGATGGATGTCAAAACCGCCTTCTTGAATGGGTTCTTGACAGAGGATGTGTATATGACATAACCTGAGGGTTTTGAAGATCCCAAAAATCCTAGAAAGGTATGCAAGCTTCAGAAATCCATTTATGGAATGAAGCAAGCATCACGGAGTTAGAATATTTGTTTCGATGAGGCGATCAAACAGTTTGGTTTCCTTAAGAGCGAAGAAGGACCTTGTGTATACAAGAAGTCTAGTGGGAGCACTCTAGTTTTCTTAGTCTTGTATGTAGATGACATACTGCTCATGAGGAACGACATACCAATGCTTGAGTCAGTCAAGGAAAGGGCGAAGAGTTGTTTCTCCATTAAAGACTTGGGTGACGCATAGTACATATTGGGAATTAAGATCCATAGAGATAGGTCTTGAAGGATGATTGGACTAAGTCAAGAGACTTATATTCATAAGATCCTTGACAGGTTCAACATGAAAGACTCCAAGAGAGAATTTCTTCCCATGTCTCATGGTATAATGCTCAGTAAAGCTTAGTGCCCTCAAAAGCCAGAAGAGTTGAAGCGTATGGCGAGTGTACCTTATGCCTCTACAATACGGTCCATTATGTATTCCATGATTTGTACAAGGCTGGATGTTGCATATGCCTTAAGCACGTGTAGCAGGTTTTAGGAAAATCCAGGAGAAGCACACTGGACAGCTGCTAAGAACATCCTTAAGTACTTGAGAAGGACTAAAGGACTGCAACTGGTTTATGGTGGCGAAAATGAGTTGGTTGTCAAGGGCTATACGGATGCGAGTTTCCAAACAGAAAGAGATGACTTCAATTACAAAGGGATACATTTCTGTCTGAATGGAGGAGTAGTGAGCTGGAAGAGTTCGAAGCAAAGTATTGTTGTAGACTTTACGACAGATTCTGAGTATTTGGCTACGGCAGAAGTGGCTAAGGAGGCAGTTTGGATCAAGAAGTTCCTTACTGAGCTAGACATTGTACCTAGTGCTCAAGAAGGAATTGAGTTGTTATGTGACTACAACGACTCCATTGCTCAGTCAAAGGAGCTAAGGTCACATTACAAATCCAAACATGTTGTGAGGAAGCATCACCTCATTCGAGAGATCGTTGGCAGGCGGGATGTTAAGATCTGCAAAGTTCATACGGATGAAAACATCGCTGATCCGCTTACTAAACCCCTTCCGCAGCCCAAGCAAGAGACTCACTCAAGGGCTTCTGGATTGAAGCAAGTCATGTAATTTAAGTTGTATTTGTTTTGAAAAAACTTATTACATATGTAATACATTAACTTACAGAATTATGATTAATTAGAAATTTATTATTTCTCTAATTAGAATATGGTTTTCATGTTAAATAAAATGTCTAAAGTAATTATGAATTGATGAATCATCAATTACGTGATTTGGTGAATGAAACCCCACAGGTGAACTAAGTTCATAAATTATTTAAGTTCCTAGTTCGAAATCATTAAATTGGACATAAATGATTTTAATAAATGGACTAGCATGTAAGATTGATTGGATAGCACAGTTTCATGGGCTATAGAGGCATAGAGATGCTCGGTCAATCACATGGGTATGCATGAATGATGCATGATCGAACTATTGACCTACTTTGAAGTTCAAGTATAGAGCTTCCGGATATATTAGTGGATTCCTCTGACATGAGTGGAACACTGATTTCTTTCAATGATTAACTGTGGTACATCCAAATGTCATTCCGTAAAGGAAAAATTCATGGCAATAATTCGACCTTTAGCCCATTCTTTTTTAATAATCCGACCTTTCGATTATTATTTAATAATCCGACCTTTGGGGGTCTTTAATTTTTATTGGTCCCATTTGACTAGAAACCGGTTGAAGAGGTAAATTTTTTTTTTTTGGTTTAAAATACACGTGTCATTACATAACTGGTCAAAAAAAAAATTAAAAAACCCTATAATTCAGCCACAGCCCACCACCACCCAATCCCAAGCCCCAGAACCACCATCCCCCTGTGCCGGTTTGCCCCCTCCCCCTGCGCCGATTTCCCCCCTCCCCCACACCGGTGACGCGACCTACCCTCCCACTGCACTCCTTCAATTTATAATGGATTAGTGGGCTGTGTTGCGAATTTCGGGCGCTATTTTTGTTCGAATTGGTGGCTGTTGATTTGGTGGTTGGTAGCGTGTGGTTGAGTTGGTTGTTATCGGCGGTTTGTGGGCTATTTGCGAGTCTACAACGGTATTGGAGGTGAGAGATGGTGGTGATAGTGGCGAGGGGGGTGGTTTCGGTGAAGCCAAGTTTGACAGGAAAGGGTATTAAGCAAAGGAGAAGAGGAAAGGGTGCAGTGGTGGCGGTGAAGTGACGGTGCATCGGTGGCTTTAATCGCTGCCTGGTGGTGCATGTGAGAGCAGCAAAGTGAGCTGCTGCGATTGTTTGCTGGGTGGCGTGAGGTGGTGCTGATTGTGGCTGCTGTGGTGGCAGTGAGGGAGCAGGGTTGTGAGTGAGGGAGATGTGGGGGTGGTTCGGTATTACTGGTGATGGTAGGGCAAGAGCACGGGGAGAGTGAAGGGGAGGGAGGGGGAGAGGGAAGGGGAGGTAGGCCGGCGGCCCCTGGCGCGTCTTCTGGAGCAGGTACCGGCGGCAGGGGGCTGGCCTGGGCTGACTCCATGATGGCTGGCTGTTTTTTTTAATTTTTTTAGTTTTTTTTCTGTTTTTTTTTTAATTTTTTTACCAATCACAGGCCGCCACGTGTCACGTAACCTGTTATAACAGGTTACATGACCGGTTGGGACCAATAAAAATTAAAGACCCCCAAAGGTCGGATTATTAAATAATAATAGAAAGGTCGAATTATTAAAAAAGAATGCGCTAAAGGTCGGATTATTGCCATGAATTTTTCCTTCCGTAAAAGGGGACTATAAAAGGTGTTTCCTTGTTACTTAAAAAGTTGAGTGGGAGCTTTGGTAGCCACAAGATTGGATTGAGTCTACCTATTTAATTAGGAATGTTTCATGGCCTCTTGAAGAGGGAGAATTCAGAAAATGCATGGTCATGTTCAAATGGATTACATAGTATCAAATCAACACATATTGACTTAAGGAATTTGAATATTGCACACTTATGTTAGACAAGTGGGAGATTGAAGGATTTATGTATTCGTCAAGTGCAATTACTAGATATATCATGGATCATTATTATGGAGATAATTAGTTCATTCTTTTGGGTCGTCATTGTCCGTTGCTAGATATGATAAATGATCTTTGGGCTAGTCAAATAGTCCAAAGCTCAATAGAATGGATCCTATAAGGTCACACACATAAGGGTTATGGATTGAACAAAGCATGAAGCCTATTCATGGGCCTCATGAGGTTATGACAAGCCACATAAGAAGTAACGCTAGAGTAGTTTGGGTTGGATTAGGAGTTTAGGCTTCACATGGATTGTAATTATATATGAGATATATATATATATATAGAGGCCTTGCCTATAAATCACAATTAACCTAAGCAGTATACTGTGAAGTAAGCAACCAAACTCCCTAACCCCTCTCTCTTACACGCCTCTCTCTCTCTCCCCCCTAGTTCGTATGGTACAGACACCGGCGCACGGTGGTGGTGGTGGTGGTGGTTCATGGCTTGTTCATTTCATCTCCTCTCCGTAGAAGGTAGATTGAAAGGTTTGATCTTAACTAACTAGCATTAGTGGAGGTTCAATTCTTGCCCGTGGACCAAGTGGAGGAATCACGTTTAGGGTTCTTGTTCTCCTAATTGTTCTTACTCGATCACTTGTGGAATCACGCTTCAAAGGTATAATTATGTGTTCTTTATGTGTTGTGCATAGATCTTGTTTATAGATGCTTATGAATATGATGCATGCAATTCCGCTTAGAGTATCTATAATCCTACAGCTGATACTACCACTTCTGCAATGACGATTGTAAAACCTGTAACTGAACAAGAAAAGGCAAAAGCCTTAGTGTTGTTAAGGCATCATTTACATGAAGGCCTTAAAACCGAGTACATGATGGTTGAAGATCCCAAAGAATTATAGGATGACCTTAATGAAAGATTTGGACACCACAAAAGGGTGCTCCTTCCTAAGGCATTGTTTGATTGAACAAATTTACGGTTCTAGGATTTCAAATCTGTAATTGATTACAATTCATCTATACATGAGATAGTATCTATATTGAGATATTGTGATCATCCAGTCACCGATGAACAGATGATTGAAACAACACTCACTACCTTTCATGCAAGCAACATATTGTTGCAAGAACAATATCGTGAAAGAGGTTTCAAAAAGTTTAATGAATTGATGAGTGTATTGCTTGTTGCTGAACAAATTATTGCTGAACAAAATAATGATCTTTTGTTGAAAAATCATAATCTTAAACCAACTGGGTCTCTGGCCACTCATGAGGCCAATGCCACAAATTCTTATCCACCCGAGGCAAATGCAACACAAAGAAGTGGATGTGGAAATTACAATGGACGTGGAAGAGGTCGTGGACGTTATAGAAATAATTTTCAAAGAAACAGTAATTTCAAAAATTCTGAAAAACAGAAGGGACAGTCATCTGGAAGCCACAAACAAACTCCTTCAAAAGGAAAAACACATGTTACAGATGTGGCATGATAGGGTATTGGGGACGTACTTGTCGTACGGCCAAACATTTGGTAGATCTTTACCAGGCTTCTATAAAAGGCAAAGGGAAAAATGCAGAAGCAAATTATGATAATGAAGAAAATGCTCCTTGTCCTAGCCTTAATGTATCTAATTATTTCATGGACAACGCTAAAATTGGAAATGATTTCATCTTTGGAGAAAATAACAATGCTTAGTTTCCCATCTACTAATATAATATGTATTATGTTTTAATATATTTTCTTTAATGTACTGTATTTTAAATTTCTAGTCATGTACTTTTAATCTATATCATCAATAAATGTTTGTATGATATTATTCTAAACTAATTTTAAATTTATTTAATGAAGATATGGATCTGCCTGAAGTTAGTTCCGAATATCAATGCTTTTTGGACAGTGGAACAACACATACTATCTTGAAGGATAGAAAATATTTTTCACAACTAAAATTGTTTCAAGCAAATGTAAACACTATTTCCGGGTCAGCTAAATTAATTAAAGGATCTAGAAAGGCTTGTATAATTCTTCCAAATGGAACAAAATTGATAATCAATAATGCTTTATACTCGAGTAAATCTCGAAGAAATCTCATAAGCTTTAAAGATGTACGCCAAAATGACTATCATTTAGAAACAATGACGACAGATCAAAAGGAGTATTTATGCCTCATGGCAGAAAAATACGGCAAGAAACATATTTATGAGAAATTGCCAGCATATTCTTCGGGGTTATATTGTATAAACATACGACCCGTGGAAATCAATATGATATCTAACCAGAAGTTAGATGACAAACATTTGATTATTTTATGGCATAATCGTATGGAACATCCAGCAGCTGGGATGATGCAAAGAATTATAGCAAATACAGTTGGACATTCAATAAGAAATCTCAAAATTCCTCGATCGGATGAATTAACATGCTCTGCTTGTTCACTTAGAAAATGAATAAGGCCATCTATGAACAAAATTGCTACTGAATCTCTAAAATTCTTGGAAAGAATTCAGGGAGATATTTGTGGGCCAATTAATCCGGCATGTGGACCATTTCGATATTTCAAGGTTGTAATTGATGTTTCTACACGATGGTTACATGTTAGTATACTTTCAAGTAGAAATGTTGTCTTTGCAAAATTACTTGCCCAAATCATCAAATTAAGAGCACAATTCCCAAATCATACAATAAAGAAAATAAGACTCGACAACACTCGGGAATTTACATCCCAAACATTTTATGATTATTGTATGCAATTGGAATTGTTGTTGAACACCTAGTAGCTCATGTTCATACACAAAATGGTCTAGCTGAATCACTAATTAAGAGATTACAATTGATTGCAAGACCATTATTAATGAGGTCAAAATTGCCATTATCTGCTTGGGGACATGTTATAATACATGCAGCAGCACTAATTAGTTTTAGACCTACAACTTAACATAAATTCTCACCACTACAACTTGTTTATGGTCGAGAACCAAGTATCTCACATCTAAAAATCTTTGATTGTGCTTTATATATTCCCATTTCTCCACCCCAAACAAACAAAAATGGGTCCAGAAAGTAGGCTAGGAATTTATGTCGGGTTTAAATCCCCCTCTATAATCAAATATCTTGAACCATTGACTGGTGACTTATTTACGGCTAGATTTGCCGACTGTCACTTTAATGAAATAGTATTTCCAGCCTTAGGGGGAGAGAAAGTGGACCAACACAAGAAAGAAATGAACTCATTTGGAATGCAACACAACTGTTGAATTTAGACCCACGAACAAATGTGTGTGAACAAGAAGTCAAGAAAATTGTTCATTTACAAAGTGTTGCAAATCAATTGCCTGATGCATTTGTAGACACAAAGAAGGTGACAAATTCACATATACAAGCAGAAAATGCCCCTGCACGTATTGATATTCCAACTGGCAATAAGTCATTGAAAATGAATCTCAAGCATGCAGAAAGCGTAAGAGACCACTTGGTTCAAAAGATTCTAATGCCAAGGAAATTGAAAAGATTGGATAGAATAGAAAATGAGACTAGTGATGTTCCCCCATCAGAAGGTTAAGAAAGACCAAATATGGATGAAAGTAAAGAAAATGATGATAATCTAAAGGATGAACAAGAAGACAACCCTACGGGGAATGAACAAGATGTTCAAGGCATCGATAACAATGAAATTTCAATGAATTATGTCTCTACCAAGACTCATTGGAATAGGAAATATGTTATCGTAGATGAAATATTTGCAAATTCCATCGCAATCGACATTGTTTCTGATGAAAATGATGTTGAACCAAGAACAGTGGAAGAATGTCATCACATGAGTGATTGGCCAAAGTGGAAGGAGGCAATGCAAGCTGAGTTAAAGTCACTGAAAAACGAGAAGTTTTCAGAAAAATAACACTTACACCAGCAGGTGTAAAACCCGTAGGATACAAATGGGTATATGTGAGAAACTTAATGAGAAAAATGAGATAGTTAGATAAAAGGCAAGACTTGTCGCCCAAGGATTTTCTCAAATTCCAGGGATTGATTATGAAGAAACATATTCTCCAGTAGTCGATGCAACTACATTAAGATTTCTAGTAAGCTTAACAGTCACAAAAGGATTGAAAATGTGATTAATGGATGTAGTGACTGCGTATTTGTATGGGTCACTCGATACAGACATTTACATGAAAGTCCTCGAAGAACTAAAGCTACCAGAAAACCACAAGCCTAGACAATTGCTTTCCATAAAACTAAAAAGGTCACTTTATGGATTGAAACAATCTGGGAGGATGTGGTATAACCGTCTCAGTGAATACCTTATGAGAGAAGGGTTAAAAAACAATCAAATTAGTCCCTGTCGTTTTCATAAAGCGATCACAACCAGGATTCGCTATTATTACAGTGTATGTTGATGATCTAAATATCGTTGGAACCCCAAATGAACTTGAGAAAACAGCAATATACTTTATGAAAGAATTTGAGATGAAAGACCTTGGAAAAACTAAATTTTGTCTTAGATTGCAAATTGAGCACTTAAGTCATGGTATCTTTGTCCTTCAATCAAACTATACAGAAAGAGTTTTGAAAATATTTTTCATGGACAAAGCAACTCCAATCAACTTCCCAATGGTTGTTCATTCTTTGAATATGAAAAACGATCCATTTAGACCCCAAGAAGAAAATGAAGAAATTATGGGTCCAAAAGTACCATACTTAAGTGCAATTGGAGCCTTAATGTACTTAGCTAAAAACACTAGACCCGACATAGCTTTCTGTGTAAACTTTTTAGCCAAGTATAGTAATGCACAGACATACAGACATTGGAATAGAGTCCGACACTTACTCCGGTACCTACGAGGGACACAAGATCGACCCTAGTTTACATTATCAACCAAAACGAGATGCTGCTCTTGTTGGGTATGCAGACACTGGATACTTATCAGATCCACAAAATGCCAAGTCACAAACTAGATATTTGTTCACTTATGGCGGCATTGCAATATCATGGAAATCAATAAAGCAGACATTGACCGCAACATCCTTGAATCATGCAAAGTTGTTAGTTCTTTATGAAGTAGGACGAGAATGTGTATGGCTGAGGTCGATGATCAATAATATCCAAGAAGAATGTGGAATGGACGCAATAACAGAAAACACAACCATCATTTTTGAAGACAAAACAACATGCATCTCTCAAGTAGCTAAAGGATATATTAAGGGAGATAGGACAAAACATATATCCCTAAAACTATTCTTCACACATGATTTGCAAAAGGATGAGGAAATAGATATCGAGCAAATTCCGTCTTATGACAAACTTGCCGACCTGTTCACTAAATCACTTCCTTCGAAGAAATTTGAGCAATTAGTTCACAAAATTGGAATGCGACATCTTCGTGAACTATGCTAAAATTAGGGGGAGTATTATATGCACTGCACTCTTTTTCCCTTCGATTAGGTTTTTATCCCACTAGGTTTTCCTGACAAGGTTTTTAATGAGGCAGTATATCAAAGCATATAATATAATAATGTTGTACTCTTTTTCCCTAGCTATAGTTTTTATCCCATAGGGTTTTATCTAGCGAGGTTTTTAATAAGGCAACATATACCTTTTTCCTGTATGAGTATGGGCATTCAAGGGGGAGTGTTAGAAGATAAGTCTAACGTGAATGCCAATTATTGAATTGATCATACCATGCTCTAATATGTCCAAATACTTTTGAACTCATATAATTACATATGAGTAATTATTGTACTTTTAGCATTACTCATGGCTATATATACAAAGCCATGTAAGTGTAAAATATACACAAGCAAAATATAACCGGAGCACTACTACACTACTTCTGTACCTCTTTACTCTTCAATCTCTCTATTGGTAAAATATTTTTAACAATAAATTATATATTTAATGGAAATTTTGTATTGTCATATATTCTAAAGTTACTTGGATGGGATGGTATACCATGGTGCATGATGTTTGCTGATGAAATTGTGTTGATTGATGAAACTAAAGAAGGCATGGAAAGTAAGTTGGAATTGTGGAAGACGGACTTTGGATTCCCATAACTTGTAGGTGAGCAAAAGTAAGACGGAATATTTTGGGATGTAAATTTAGCGGTGTAGGAAACAATTTGGCAGGGGTGATCACCTTAGATGTAGATTGTAGCTCATAGGATCAAAGCGGGTTGGTTAAAGTGGAAGAGTGAAACGGGTTTTTTATGTGATCCAGGCGTACCCCATATATTAAAGGGAAAATTCTACCGAACGGCAATAAGGCCTTCTTTGTTATATGGTACAGAATGTTGGGATGTAAAACATTACCACGTGCTTAAGATGAATGTGGCAGTGTTGCGTATGTTGCGATGGATGTGTGGTCATAGAAGAAAGGATCGGTTAAGGAATGAGATAATAAGGAAGAAAGTAGGGGTTTCATCGATTGAATACAAGATGAGGGAGAATCGTTTAAGATGGTTTGACCATGTAAGAAGGAGACCAAGTGAT